ACGGACCCGGACCCCCAAGGAGCCTTGGAGGAGGGTGGGGGAAACCCCTACGGCATCTCGGCGGAGATGCTCGAACTATGCTCGGGGAAGACCCTCGATTGTAACTCAGCCAGTTCTTCGACTGCCTGCCCCGCCGCAGCCACCACCACGAGCAGCGAAAAGGCCATCACTGTAGCTTTTCCCGACGGGGACAAGACACTGCTCGACTGGAAATCCTTTTTCTAGCATGAGCGTCAAGTGATGTAGTGGGGCCCGCCCATGTCCTTTCGGTGCTGTAATCAGTGAGCGGTTGTAGAGTTCATGGGATGGCGTTAATCTGTTGTTGAGTTGGCGTGAAGTGTGCCTGGTGCGTGGGCGGTTGTTTTTCGTCCACCAGAGAGCGGGCGAGGAACTACGAGGACTAACTAGCGCTCACCGAATTCGATGTAAGATGTTTATGTGAGCACAAACTTCGTACACTCCGCTCGTTGTTTTATTTCTTGTGCCCGTGGTGGTGTGATAGAAACTTTTGTTTCTAGCGTCTCCTGTACATTGTGGATGCGAATGTTGCTTTACTTCTCGAGTTTGTCTGTCTCTGTTTGATACGTGTTTTATGATGTTCTCTGTGTAGAGTGGCGTTACTTCGTGCATCTCGTTGGCACAGCATACTCCTGATCTGATGTAATTTTGCAGGACATTTCATTGCTCGACCTTTGTTGAACAGAACTTATCCTCATCGTTTACTTCGAAGTATGTTGTAAACAATTAATTTCGTTTTAATTCGGATGGTGGAAGGGATAGAAGGATAGGCGTGTCATCGTGTGCATGTGTCCGCATTATTGGTAAAGGCGCACGGTAAGATGGTCTGGCATCCTTATGAGCGAACTTGCCTTCAGAATGTTTACCTTGGCACCCCCGTGCTTGCTACAGTAGTCGTGTGCCGTGAGTGCCGAGGTGTCGTATTTCGTGCACTTTGCGTTGAACGGGGTGGTTAGCCGGGAGAATTGCATCGCAGGGCACCGCGCAGGGCAGGGCGGTGTCGTGTTGGAGGGTCGTCGTGAGAAAATTGATTAGTTCCGTTTGAGTGTGTTGCTGTACGTTTCGTGGCGTGATGCTCCTCGCGTATGTCCCATGCAGGGCGGACGACAATATAGGCAGCAGCAAGGTAGACAATATTGATATCCTGACTTCCAGGGACTTGATGGGGCAAACAGTATCCACATTTTGGCGACGAATTGAAGACCAGGAGCTGCCTCGGTAAGCCAATGAGAGCCCTCTAAGACGTCGAATGATCCAGGCTACACAGGGACTTGGAAATGTGTTGACACTTGGCAGTTCTCTTGTTGTTTCGCGGGTTGGAAGGTGGGATCGGCGGCAGAAACGACTTGAAAATGATCGATGCGTATTCCAAGCGATGTTTGTGTTGAGAGTCAGGAATCTGTGTGTTTCTGAAAGGTGATCTGTGTTATTTGTGAGTGCTGGAAACACAAGTTTACACAGTCCAGCGACGCTGGAGCTGCCGCAGTTTTCGATGGTGTGGTGCAGTAGAGGTGCTACGGTCATGGCTTCCTCGTTGCTGGTGCGTACATAGTTGTCCAGGGCCTGCGCCCGCTTGACGCGAGAGAAAGGTTTTGCGAGGAAATCGTGGTTCTATTCACTGTCTCACCGGCAACATTGCGGAAATGGCATCTCATTGGGGTATGTGCATCTCCGCCCACCAAACGGAAAAACGCATTTAACATCACACAGAAAACCTATGTGGACTACATATTCCACAAAAAGCATTTGTTTACCCACCGATTAACAATCAACACGTCGTTGTATGTACTGTAACATGTAGCGGGGCACCGAGCGGGGATAAATCGCTCAAAGCACCAAGTGACCGTGAATTCCAACGACCGGGTCGTCTGCGGCATCATCGTCCGATCGAAACAACGGGTGTTGCGTACTTTGCCGCCCGGAGTTCTTGTTCGAGTTGATCTCTCTTTTGTTGTTGTGCAATCTGAACGTATCTTTCACAAAATAATCGCGATCGGAATGAAAAAGTTTTTCCTTGTGTTCCTCCCGCCCTTTGGCTTGTCCTGTTCACACGGCGGGGGCATCCACGAAACACCGTATATCAGACGCCAACTATGTACAACAATACACATAAAAACCACGTCAATCGATTCGTCACGTTCCTCGTGGCCTCATGGTATAATCGGATGCGAGCGTCAAAACGGGGTTTCAACCTGACAGGGTAGGCGAAAAGCACAGAAATCATACCACGTATGTAGCTCACCAAAAATAATCCAAGCCAGCTGCGGAAAAAAAACAAGGACAAGACGAAGATACCGTAGAAGGCGAAGCGATGGCACCGGGCGCGTTCTTTTTTGTAAATGCTTTGTCGTTGGAGGGGGGTTTACACCCCAGTACGATCTCTCCGAGCCCGGGGCGGAAATCCTATATATTATTATTATCATTTCGTTCAGCTTTTTCAGGGACCCCATCACCGCCAGCGGCGTTCCGGAGATTCCACCAAAAGAGAGTCGTGTCGGAAATTATTCGCCCCGACAAGGATTACAACAAGAGAGGATCGCTTGTGCTCAGCCTTGACTGGTACCTTCACCGGTGTTAGTGATCTCGCCTGGAACGTTGACATCGACACACCGGAAACAGGTAACGCGCCCACGGATGGCCAATCAGGATGAAGCAGATCCCAACTCGCTATCCATACGTAACGAAACGCCTATTAGCCATATCTAATCTTCCCGGGCAGATTCTGACACATACCGTACTGCCAGAGATGAAGAGGAAGGATCGCAGTACGCATCGGCGGGCGTCCATCGTTAACCACGCAATCATTTGAACATCACCATGCTCCTCGTCGCGCTACTTACTCTCTAGGTATCATCGGGCTCCGATGTTGTTTTCCTTTTAGGGTGGAAGGCGGAAGGGGTGGGAGGGTACATACGGGTCGCGAAGCGTCGTGTGGTCTCCACGATCATCACTGCGCGGCAAAGGTTGTGGCACGCCGCCGTCTTCACGTGTCGACCCCCAAGTCCCTGACGGTCTCATCCGGGCTGTGGTCCACCAGGAAGGCCGGGGTCACCCGTATCTCGCCCAGGTCGTTGGGCGAAGACCACACGGGGGTGAACACCCCCTTCCTGCGCTCGCTGATGCCCGGAGTGCAGCAGCGGGGGCTAACCTCACCCTCGGTGCGGAGGGGGGAGAAGGCGCTTCAGCAGGACCACAGGCACCCGTTCTCGCACGTCTCCACGCTCACCTGGGGTTGAGGGGTTGATAAAGGCTAACGTTGGTATTGTTCGGTCGGGGGTTGTTGTTCGGGCAATAACAGTGATCGTACGTATCGCCGACCGTACTGACTCAAGGCCGGAGGAGCACGCCAGAAACAATGCGAGGTCGGAGAGGGGTAGTCATGTAAACGCACGAGCAGGTCGTTAGATCATTAGCCTCGCATCCCTACAATACCGCGATGGAGCGATATTCCATTGTTTTGCCGGCCCAAGCAGGGAAGGGTGGAAAATAAACGAACGCGTACTTCACGTGTATGAGGTTGCCCTCCAGAGTGGGGCTCATGAGAGCACAGCGGTGTCATCATCAAGGGGGTGACGAAAGACGAAAAAAGAGCTGTCGGAAAGTACTGTCTTTCGGCTGTGACATTGTCAGAAAGCTCGAACAGCACACACAGCTGACTTGTGCAGACTCCAAGAGCCCTCCGAACCAAAACGAGAAACCATCAAAGTCTGTGGACTATGCAACAGTCTTACATTCACATCTCTCTCAACAAGGCAGGCTAGACGGCAACACAAGACACCATGGGGAGGATATTCCCAGAAGACAGTCTACCACCACTACCACTATCACTACCGCCACCAACACCGCCGCAACAAAAAAACGGGGTGATTTTGAGCTGTGTTCGAGGCCGTCCGCTACATTCCAAGACAGAAGTCACGCTGTGCAGGAAGAGAGCATGCACGTTGCTGTTGAGTACACGCTCTCGTCGGGAAAACCAAGTGGTTTCCGCGACGGGTTCAGGTCGTACTTACTTTCTTGTCCAACGGAGAGAAGGGGCCACCACCACAGAATATGACAATAAAATAGAGAGGGCCTCTACCGTCGGCCACTGCACTCTGTTGGTACACCCGCACGTGGATACAAAATTCGGGCACCAAGCGCCGTCGTGTGTGCAAGAACGGACTTTTGAGCGAATGGAATGATACAGCAGTAAGACAATTGGTTGAGCTTCGCTTCGGGCGTGGCCTCACAACTCTGTAATGGTATTTGACCCCTTCCTTCAGCATCAATCACCTTTGAGCTGTGTGGAACTCTCTTGTCCGACCACAGTAGCAGGTTGTTGTTGCTTTCCGTTGTTCTCTTTCTCTTGATTAACGCTTTCCAAGCCAACTCACAATATCCCACGCACACACGATCATAGATCGCCTGTACGCACACACTGAACAGAAGGGCACATGTCTCGGCATAAAGCCCTGATCTAGCATGACGTCACGTCATAGCATCCGACGGCGCCAAATAACCATGATCAACCACTATCACATGTCTACCTCCAAATACCATAACAACTCGCTCTCGCTCCATCTAAACCCGGGCTTTTGCAAGTACTCGTATTTAGCCCGTCACCGTAGTCTACTGGAGGCTGTGCATTCACCCCGAACAGCGGCCAGCTCTCGGGCGGTGGAAAAACGACTGTTTGCATTGGTCTAGTCTACGTGGTACGCATAGAATACGCATATGAATATGACATGTTGGTTGTTGGGCTGGATTCGATTGAATCCAGGCTTCAGCCACCACCGAGGTTGCTCTGTGCGACTCTCCCTGCTGGAAGCATTACAGGTGTTGCCGCCGATCTATGTAGGGTAATATCCGGACTGCTTGGGTATCGGTAGGAATGACACCAAGGGGCACAGGATCCTCTGCACAAGCAGGGGCTACTAGATCCTGTCCCCTGCATTTTGTCCTTCCGCGGAGAGTTACATCTCTCCGCGCCTTCTAGAAGGAACCAAGCTCTTCTATGTTCCATCTACACATCTGAATCCTATAACACATCACAGCTACATTAGCCCACCACAGCTTATGCATGAGTCGGTGTGGTGAGACGAGAGGTGACCATGGACAAATTGAACTGCTGTCTCGCCGTCCCGTTTCCTGTACCAACTATTTTTACTTCTCCAGAGAAATTCATGTCATCAGACAGACGTCAGACCGCGTCATCCATCAGAATCGTATTCTTTCATTATTTACGCTCCTTTGACATGTACACCAGGTTGTTGTGCTTTGGTTGCCTGAGGGGAGCATGCGAGAGGTGCGTAAATTAGTCTATGGCTCGAGAAACGGGTGTCTACAAGTGCGACGGAGACGCGAGCATCACAAGAAGAACAGCTGGTGCACTGCTATAGACGAAAACATTAAGTTGAGGTATGCATATAATTGCAGGGTCGCTTGAAACCACCACATCTTTGCGGGGGTATGCGAGGGAGACTACAGAACGCGCCACCACTTAAGAACTTAGCAGTTAAGAACTTGATGAGCCTCAAACAATCCAAAAACCTTAGAACTTGGCCGTAAGAACAGGCGTTCAGTTCCGACGTGGCATTAAGAACAAGAACCCGCCCTTACGGTGCACCCATGCGTATACAGACAAGAACGGAGCCCCAAACGCGGCGACTGCAAGATAGTAACAACTCAGGAAGGTGGGGGGTGACCCAAACAGCAGTTAGTTTCAGATTCGAGGTGGGGGGGGGGGGAAGGCTCGTCGTGACAAAAGTACATGTACGTGCGGAGGGGGAGGGCGTACCCTCTCTCATGTTTCGCATGCCTTAGCGGTTAGGCCATTGACCACACGTCCTCGAGAGGACGCATCATTGTTCCCACAGGACCGATCACCGATGGCCAATCGTTCCTTCCTACTTGGAAGTACTTTGTCAAAGGCGGCTCAATAATGTTTTCCCTAGCCTTTCTACCCAATCGATATCACTTCCCGCCTTTTCAACACATTTCCTACGCCCCATTACAGCTAATACTGTAGTCTATTCTCCTGGCTATTCCATGCCTCACAAACATCTCTCTGAACCTTTTCCTTCCGTACTTTTCCCAGGTCAGTCATGAACTTTTCCCTCTCCTTCTCGAATAACGGACATTCCGCAAGTACATGAACATGGTCTCCGCACTCTGGGGCCGCATTCACATCTGGATTTGTCGTCTTCATGGTTCACTGAACCTTCCCAAATCTTCGTCTACGTTCTCGAAGGCTAGACTAAATGTCCCCAGTCTTAAATTTGACCTTCTTCCGCTTTTTTCCCCTGCATCCGTTTGGGCCATTTAGGGACTCCTTGATTGACATTTATCCCTTCTCCCAACATTCCGCACACATCTACAGACCCTCCTATCCTTGGTTTCTTTCCTTAGATTATGTTCTTCTCTCTCGGCAAAAGCAACAGATGTCTTCTCCTTGAACCTTGAACCCCCCTCAACCTTCCGTTTCCAGTGAATCACCTTCTTCTTCGTCAATTTCGAACCCCTTCCATTTATACATCATGTACAAAATGACCCCACTCCGTGGGTTGGTACCCCAATTCCTCTTGTTTGTCCACGTCGCCTCACAAGCCATTCTCGGCAACCTCTTCTCCCCCATACCGCATAACATGCGGCACTGCCATTGAGGTTACGATGGTACTCTTACAACGTAGTACTGCTGCAGTACTGAAGTGTCTCGTCAAATCCACCCAGAAAGACCTGTGTCCTCTGCACAGGACAATCGGCTCAGAAAAAAGAACAAGAACCCCGTTTATCGTAGGTGGATGCCTGCTCCAAATAAGAACTTCGAAACTAAGAACATGTGCCCCGTTGGAGGTAACCAATAAGCGTCGAGCCTCCAAGCTAATGTAAATAAGCGGTTCTCACGTCTTGGCGCGTTTTGCTGCTGTAGACTACTGCTGTATATACGTAGTCTATGTTTCATGAGTCTACGGCTCTAGAAACCGATGTCTACAAACGTAACGGAGACGCGAGCATCACAAGCAGAATAGCTACGTCGTGCACTGCTCAGACAATATATTAGAGGTAGCAGGGTCGTTGCTTGACGCGAGATGTGACATTTGTGACGTGGGTTCGTGGTAGAGGAGCAGAGGGCAGAGGGGCAGAGAGAGCAGAGCAGAGGGGAAAAAGAGTTCGTGGTTCGACGCGGCATCACCCATGCCGCTTCAGCAGATCTAGTCTAACTGTGTATCGCACAATCGCACGGCGAGAGAGAAATAGAGCGAGCTCACGAGAGCCCACACGATAATCAACGCCTACCTTCTACAGTACCCGCCATTCCGCCGTATTCAACGAAGAAGGTGAACAAGAACTTGGCCAGAGAGTTGTCCCCATCCACAGCAGTCCACAGACCTTGGTTGGCCATCAACAAGTCAGCGACGTATACTGCTGTAGGACGCCAAGACGATGATGATGCACGGCTGCCGCGGGCTCTGCTATTATTATTGTGTTCCTCGACTCTCGACCCGACACATTGCCGCCGCTGGGCCGCCAAGATTTTGGATTCCAACGGGTGTTTTTCTCTAGTTTTTCTCGCCACGGGGATACGGAGATGATGCTCTGTCGTGCGTGCGCTGAACTGCTGTGCTATCGCCTGTTTGTGGCTCATCGGCGAATGGCGAGAAGAAGGAATTCAACCATTTTGGCTGCGAAGCCAAGCGAAGCCAAGCGAAGCATGCAACAAACGAGTTGCCAATTTGAAACTTTGAAACTTTGAAACTCATTCCGTGCTGCTGTTGTTGACGTTTCGTGTCCACAGCAGATGTGTCGTGTCCACACCTGCTGAGCTGACAGCTGACCAGAGAGAGGTATGCATACGTAGCTTCGTCCTTTCAAAATTCTTTGCTCTTTGCTGCAGTGGGGTTTCGTCCAGAACACAGATGTCCCTTTCTTTGCCGTCTCTTTTTCAAAGGCAGAGAGCAGAGAGCAGAGAGAAAGACCAAGACAGAAAAGAAAAGTTCGTCCGCGTCTCTACCTACTATTTAACTATTATCTTTGGTTTTCATTTTTCTGGCCAAAACCCGCCCGCTTTCCTCCTCCTCCTCCTCCTCCTCCTCCTCCTCCTCCTCTGATATAATAAGCATTTTTGTTCTGGTCTGTGCCGCTGGGCTGAGACGGTTGCGCGAGGCAGGTGGGTACATGGAAAGTGTGCATACATAGCATAGATGAGAAACTCACCGCACGGACCACGTGTGCTGCCGTTGCTGATGATGTGCTGCTGCTGTACACGCGAGGGCCCCCGGCGTCTCTCTGCTGTCTGTCGGTGTGATGTTGCGTGCTGACTTGTCTTCCCCCCTTCTCAAACAGGAAGAATTTCCTTTCCCCCGTCTCCTCCGCTGTGTGCGAATTTGAACGCACTATGTACACACATAATACATAGGGAAGCAAGAGGGAGAGCAGAGAGAGAGAAAAAGCGAGGCCATGAGGGAGGAGAAGGGGAGGAGCACAGATGGGGGGGGGGCTCCTACGACACTTGTAGTAAAGCGGCTACTGTCGGATGCTACTGCTACTTTCTACACTGTTTGCTGGAAGAGGCCGAGACCGAATCAATGAGAGCGAGAGGAACCGAGAAGATGAGCTTTTGATACCCCGGCTGGGACACAGGTATGCGCTTGGTGAAAAGACAAAAAATCATCGGACCAAAACACCTCGGGCACGCAAGACACAGCGGAAGATGCAGAGAGTTGTGAAGAGAGAAAGAGCAAGCCAGCCTCTGTCGACCGCGGGCGTTCGACAGACAGACGCGAGGATGGAGGCACGCGAGGTAGCAAGCAGAAGAGCAAGTTCAAACGCCGTATCTACATCGTGCGGGGCAATTGGGAGCATGGATGGGGGCGGAGGTCCAGATATACAGCGCAGCCGTGTGTGAAGAGCAGCCTTGGCTTTGGTTGGATTTTTTTATTTTCGAACCTGGTGTACTACTGTAGAAAGTACCGGAGTAATGGTGCGGGAGGCGGCGCTGCCATGCTGCGCTGGTAGAAAAGCAAGAGTGTCGCAGACTATTGCTCATCATGACCTACTGTTGTTCCTATTCATGTCACTCACCATGTCCCCGCTGATTGCACTCGAACGCTCGAAGGCAGCCTTCGCTTGTTTGTTTGCTCCAACGTGCATCACGAAGCGTCCTACGCTAGGATCCATTCTACATATAGTTTTCGAAGCCAGCTCACATGGACTGCTGTAAAGGTCGTTTCCCTTGCCCTACTCCTCTCCTGATCACAGCAGAACAGACAGAAGTTGCCTGCCTCGGGACACTTGGAAGTGTCTGCTGTTCACGTGTGTGTGGATGTGTCTGCGCCCTCTCGTTTTATTGATGCTCTCCCCTCACGTGGCCCCCACCCCCCTACTACTGCAGTAGTTGCTCTTTGCCATGTCATGCTAACCCCCGCGTCCCTGTCTCCACACATCCTCCCTCTTCTCCCTCCGGCCCTCTTCTTCTCCCTGCGACCCACAGCGCCTCGTCACACGCCCACAGAGGGTGGCCTGACCTGCCAACTGCTTGTGACAGGCTGCGCCGCGCTGTGTGCCCCTGCGGATCTGCGTCAGGTGAGGATCCAGTTGGCTTGAAAACGGCAGTGGTGTTGGTGGTGTGGGAGAACTGCAGGTGCGTTCAGGCTGCTTTTTGGGAGCGCGTGCGGGCGTAGATCTTTGCTTCAGCGTGGCCACACATTAACATCACTTCACCGTGGGCGATCCTTGTCGTAGCGTGCTCTCGTTCTCGATGTGTGTTGGGGCACGGGTGGTGCGTGGTTTGTTTTGCCATTCTCCTGCGGGAGAAAGATCACAACCGTCTTTCTTTGCTGCACACAAGTAAGAGTGGGACATCCGTGACAAGAGGAGTCAGAGCTTTGGTATGCCTGTTATCCGGGTGAGAGAGGCAACCGATCGGCTGGGCTAGCTTTCTTGAGCATGGCTCGCGCCCTTTGGCATGCCTTGGTGATGTCCCATGTGGGAGGGGTGATCGACCAGCTTGCTGTTCGTGCGCGGCCGGGTGAGGATGATTACCAACAGTATCTATCTCTTGTCTACTGTAGACAACAGCAGTAGTCTATAGCCTCTATAATAATAGCTCTACGGTATTTACCGTTTCTGCCGTCTTTTTTTTTTCGACACAATCCACACACGAATATGGCATTGTAGACGCCTACATACGTGTCTAACAAGCGTTGAATTCATATCCACCTCACTCCAGGCATTTATTTCAACACGGCGAGGATTTAGCATCTTTATCGTCGCATCCAAGGCTCGGGGGATTTGAGGTTTAGTTTGGCTTTTGCTGAATTCAAGGACAAGAGTATGCACGCGGTAGTATTGAAACCAGCACACGCTAGGTGGTGAGTAGTCTACACCACCGCATCACGCATGACATGACCACCGAAAATATCCCACGCGCCTGTGTTTGGATGGTGTGTCCCCGGATGACTGTGCCTCTGCCTCTCGCCCAGTTGCGACCGCGTCCGCATGGCAATGCTAGCCATGTCGCGTGTCCGCCGCACCACGCCTTGGATTGTTGTCCTGCAACGAAAAGCGCAGCACGTACACACGGTGTGAGTGCGGCTTTACAATAACTTGGTTCGCGGTACAGTATCTGCTGTGCTACAGCAGTATTGTAGTGTCGCAATCACTGGTGTTGTGACACAGGCGCGTAGGAATATTTTTGGTGGTCATTTTATTTTGTTTTCTTCCGAATTGCTTCACTATTTCTTCGGTTTCTAGGCTACGTGTTGGGGAGAGAGACCCACGAAATGCTCATCGTCTCTCCGGCCGCGTTAGCTGCGAAGGCCGGCGTCAACTGTTATAAATCCATTTCTCTCCCCACAAATATTAGCCGGGGGACTATGACTGCAACCGCAGGAGTCCCAAAACTGACCCAAGTCCTCAAATAGTACACACCATTCTACAACACCCGACTAGATACCGAATATTCCCGAACTTATCCCCCCACCTTCGAAAGAAAAGGGATGGGAGGGCGGGATTTTCTGAGCTGCCGCCGCTACTGCGTTAGGCGGCTGCTGCTGTCCTTCCGTTGCTTCGCGCGCTCTGTAGCTCTCACACGTTACCCGACTTTGCTACAGCCCCTGCGTAGACTCGATCACGGAATGACACCCCCAGCTATAGACTACAAATATAAATCCAAACACCGTGACCCTGGGTTTCCGATAGAAAATGAAGCCAATTTCTAATTCGACTGTTAAAAAATAAACACCAGTTTATTCTATCTGCTCTTCGAACAAACCTTCCTTTTATGCGTGATACGGTGGCTACAGATGGTTGTCGAGAGTTCGTTTGCTGTTGATGAGCGGGCCCTTTGAGTTTAGTGTCATCAAAGCAAGGCTTGCGTCTGTTTTGTTTTCGCCGCGGTCAACTTGACTGAGATGGTAGCTGCAGTTGGAACGCAACGTCAGCGGCACCGCTCTCTCGGCAACCACAACCGTTTCATCTCTAGACATGAAGTTATGCAGCAGAGCGGAACGTTCCTGCCCCCACAATGTACCTGACGGCACGTATGTATTTTGGCAACAGCCCGTTCATTGTTCATCGAAGGACATGTCGGTACTGACCTGCTGTGGCAACGAATATTTCACCGTGTCTGATTGACATGCCTTTTTCCGCTGTTGGAGGAGATGTGTGTCTGTCCGTTCTGCGACAGCAGTGAGAGATGCTCTGGTCATCAAAAGCTTGCGGCCAGTCCATCAACCATAGTAGATATTGGCAGCGACGCGAGCCTGACACCCCACTGTACCTCCGGAATACTGTATGTATCTCTTCCCGCGACTGTCGACCACGTGAAATAGACCGGCTAGTATACCTTCACAATATCATGGAGGAGCTCTTGTCGTTGTTGATACTGGCACAGCTGTGGTGGGATGGTAAATGGTAAATGTAGTCCCCCCAGTTGGGATCTTGTCCTCACTCACTCACTCACTCACTCACTCTCTCCCTTGGTCAAGTGACTTGGTCTTACAATGCATTACTTCGGTTGATGTTTGGCCGAACAGTTTGATACACCCAGTCAAACTGTTGTTCCCCGAATCTGAGGAGAGCAAGATACTTTTTCTGGCCCAGGGATAAACCATTCGTGGTCACTTGTGGACGTATAAAACAATATTACACCTTTAATACCTTGAGTCGAACGAGTGACGGACCGCACGCCGTGCTGTCACTCGATATTGGGCTTCCTCTCTTTTTTTTCCCCCGTTTGTTTTTGCCCGGAGAGCAAGCGAATATACACGGTTTCTCCAGCACATCGCAGGCGTGTTTTGCAAGCACTCTGGGGATTCAATACAATCCAGACAGCAATACCGTGCGTGGTAGATGGCTGAGTCACTGAGAAGACGCGGCAAACCTTGCTTCTGTTGAATCTGCCATTGTTGCTGTTGCTGGTGCCGCTGTAACTGCGCTCTCCTAAACGGCATTTGGTCTATTGTTGCTAATATTTCCGTTTGTGACGCCTGGTCATGGATAACGGCGGTGTGGGCGGACTCATGACCCATCTGAGACTGTAGCCCGCTAATCTTGTAGGCGTTGACTTGGGGAGGTTGTAAGCTGCGTAAGCAAGCGTTCTCCATGGTTTTCACTAATTATAGTAATGAGTCAAGCGGGTGGCCGTTGCTTTGAAAAGTACTTGACGAGCAGCGGGCTTATGAGTAAATCGAGGTGAAAAGACATGCTGTGAACAAGCCATAACCTATTGTAGACATGCAAGACCAGCTCGGAGAGCAGCATTTCGGGTATGCAGCTATAGGGCGAAGAAGCTCTCGATTTCGACACATGTACGAGTACAATGATCGTTTCACCGGAACAGAAAAACGCGCCATGCACAAGCACGAGTTGGCATGAACGAAACATGATGCGATGCCAATAGAACCAGGGCCTAATCACGGGTCAGGTTTGACGATAAGAGTCGTATTCGGGGTCCACGAAAATCGTTGAGGCGGATGCCCTTGGCCCAGTGGAACCTTGAGATTAGGCACGATGAAAGAGACCCAACCCATGACATGAGATCCGTCCCCCAAAGTGAGACATGACCCTATGAGACCCGGCCCGACCCGTCCTGTTTCATCGCGATCCCGGTGTCGACCCGTGACGTTTGATCGAGTCCATCCGTTAAAAGCCCGAAGATGGACGAGTAGGAAACCTTCACGCCGCTGGCGATATGCCCGCCCGTTCCAATTCTATCCATCGCATCATCTTGTTGGTCATGCATAGCCAAACACTCACACAGCCTAGTGCATTATTTGCTTCCCTGAACAGTTGTTGATTTGGCACTTTCTGCATTCAAGCAAAACAAGCGTAGTTGTTTCAGAATACATGCAGTGGTATGCATATAAAAAGCGGCAGACTCTAAACGTGGTAGGTAGCCCATTTGAACGTGTAGGCCATTTTCACAACACCAGTGGATGCGGCACTACAATGCTACGGTAGAACAGCAGATACTGCGATCCAAGTGTTGCAATTATTGCTCTCACACCGCTTGTGCAATGCGTTCTGTGACTTTCGTTGCAGAAGACAATCCAAGGCGTGGTGCGGCGGGCGTCGGACATGGCTAGCATCGCCACAAGGACGAGGTCGCAGCTGGGTCGAGAGGTGCAGGCTTGCGGCGACACCTCAATAAACAGGCGCGTGGGAACTAATTACGGTGTTCATTTTTTGGCTTGTTGCGGTAGTTCCAGGTGGCACATGATGCGTTGTTGAGGGTTCGTCTGCTGCTTACCATGGCCCAGGCCATGCGAGTTTAGTGTCAGCAAAGCAAGGCTTGCGTCTTGTGTTAGCCTGACTGGGTACAGTTGGAACGCCATGTCAGTGGAACCGCTCTCTAGACAACGTTTTCATCTCTAGACATGATGCTATGGAGCAAAACGAAACTTCTTGTGCCCACAACCTACCTGATGGCCGCATTTTTTGGCCAAAACTCGTTTATTCACCGAGGGACACGCCGGTACTGACCTGCTGTGGTAAAGAAGATTAAGATTCACCCGTATCCGATCGACGTGCGCTCCCCTGCTATTCGGGGTAAAATCTGGGCTACACACGAATTTAAACTCGGCACAAATATGAATGGAGGCGTCTGCCCTGATAATATGTTGAGATTTGCATACAGCCGATCATTGTCT